GCAGCAACTGAGGAGAAATTTTAAACAACATTATGCACAAGGGCAAAGAGTCCCAGTAACATCTTTAATGTTATGGGCCTTAGTCAAGGCTGCTTTAGCCCTGCTCTACACAGAAGAGCCTAAAAAGAGCAGGGAGGAAGAATCATCATCTACCTTGCCGCCTCCTCCTCCTCCTTTTCCCTCAGCCCTGCCATTACTGGATAAAGGTACCACAGAGGAGACAGAGATTTTGCCTGAGCCCCCACCCCCAATAAATTGGAAAAAAGACAAGGGAGACACTATAGTTATGCAACTCTGTCTTAGGCAAGTGGCATTAGATTGGGAGCTCTTGACCTGCCCAGTGATGGAAGATCAGCAAGGCAGTCGAGTACATGAACCTATTACTTTCAACACTTATAAAGAAACAAGAAAAAGCCACTAGCCCATTTATGAAGGGATTAATTGAGGCCATAGCAGACAACTGCCGTATGACCCCTTTCTAATAATGGCCATTGTTGTAATTCCTCCCCTATCACTGACATGGGTCTCTCAAGATCCAATTTGGGTAGAACAATGGCCTTTAAACGGAGAGAAATTATGATGAACTATTAAAAACCAGCCATATAGATCCGTCAGATAGCCCTTGGAATTCACCCATTTTGATCATTCCCCAAAAATCTGGTAAATAGAGACTTATGCATGACTTACATGCTATTAATGCTAATTTGCAACCTAGGGGACCCTTTCAACAAAGGATCCCTTCCCCTGCAGCAATTCTTCAAGACTGGCCTATAGTCATTATTGACTAAGGAAACTGTTTTTATATTATCCCCCTTGCAGAACACCAATTTCATTGAAAAGAACTTCCTCAAGGAATGTTAAACCGTCCTACCCTGTGTCAATATCATGTGCACCAGGCTTTTCTCTCTAGTAGAAAAGAATTCCCTGATTGTAAAAACATCCATTATATGGATGGCATTTTACTGGTAGTCCCAACGGAGCCAATACTTTTGAGTTTATATGCCTCCGTCAAAAGGAATACATAGTTAAGAGGTTTAATCATAGCACCTGAAAAGATACAGATGTCCTCCCCTTGGAAATATATTGGATACATTCCAACTTCCCAGTCAGTAAGTCCTCAGAGGTTAAATTGAATACTAACAACTTACACACCTTAAATGATTATCAAAATTACTCGGTGACATTCAACTGGCTCTGCCCCACCTTGAGCATAACTATTACTCACACTCCTGTAGTTATGCCTACAGAAGTAGTTACACTTTAATGCTTTTTACTGATGGCTCTGGTAAAAATGAAAAAGCAGCCATCTGGTGGGAACAGCATAACTCCCTTACTGGATCTGGATTTACTAGTACTCAGAGAGCTGAGGTTGGAGCCCTAATATTGGCCCTGGAAACCTCCACTCAGCCCATCAATATTGTTAGTGACTCTACTTACTCCATTTATTTATTGAAGAACCTTGAGATTTCTCTCATTAAGTCCACTCTCAAGCCCATCCTGTATGCACTTTCTGGATCAACAAACACATTCTATTTTTATTACACACATTCGTGCCCACAGCTCACTGCCTGGTCCACTAGATCATGGCAATTTTTATCAAGCAACTCAGGTTATGATTTCACCGCTTGACCAAGACACCCAATTGCATCAATTTTTCCACCAAAATTGGAGAGACTGAACTAAATTATTTCAACTTACCCAAAGACTAGTTAAACAAATTATTTTACAATGCCCAGATTACCAGCTCAGCGGCACATCCTCTCCTTCAACAGATGTTAACCATAGAGGACTAGAACATAATCAGTTATGGCAAACAGATCTTGCACACATCCCTGAATGTGGAAAGCTAAGACATGTACATGTACTCGTTGATACCTATTCCCACCTAATTAGCACTCACGCTCTTCCTGGAGCATCTGCCCAATATGCCATTAAACATCTTCTCTTGACTTTTGCATTTATGGGACAGCCTAAAAAATTAAAACTGGTAACAGTCTAGCTTAACCTAGCTCACATGTTGGAAATTGGATACAACAGATTTGCTCAATGCAGAGTTACTACAAACCTTCTGTTCGTAAAAATCACAGTATCTGCCAAGTGCAATAAAGCAAAGCACAATAAAACAAGCTATGCCTGCACCTTTGCTGCAAAGTTATTCTCCTTTCTCCATTTCCAGATTTTAAAAGAAAGTCATCTATGTACAGCCCGCACCTTAAAAGTAGTGTCGTATTGCCCCTCCTCCACCTTTGAGAGTAGGCCATCCACATTGCTTGGAAGTGTACTGCATGGAAAATTTGTGTTTTAGTCTACATTTATTTACTTATTCAATTGATTGTTTATATTAATGTGAATTTATAGATATTTATCTTATACTTTGGCTTATAATCTACTGTTACGTTATTTATTTGGTTGCTCAGATTGTTCCAGCTTTGGCTAATGGGAACTCTTTCATTGGTTCCCCTGTTACTTTCACGTACCCCCATCAGTATGATTTTAATATTGTTATTGTGTTGTTGTTATTTCTTTGAGTACCTCCTAAATTGCCAGCATAATAAGATGTTCAAGATTCACTTGTATATTCCCTATTGCAGCCCTAGGATAAACTATTTTTTCCTAGAAGTACTAGTTATACTTTTTTCGTTCTGAAAAATGGCTTCAAAAACCAAAATATGGTGTTAGGTGTTGTGTTTGTCATAGAGTTTCACTGTTCTATGTTGACTCAGAGCACAGAAACATGTGAGTATACTAACCTTTGTCTATACAGCTGGTCTTCAAATAACATCATTTTGTTCAGCTTCATTCTGTTATAACATTGAAAAGAAAGAAATCAATTCCTAGACAATGCCACTGTCTATGTAGAGTTTGCATGTTCTCCCCATGTCTGCTTGTGTTTTCTCTGAGTTTTCCAGTTTTTTCCTACATGCCAAGGAAATGCACGAGGCAAATTGGTTTGCCTACATTGTCCCAGTCTGAGTGAGTGTGGATGTGTGTGAGTGTGCCCTGAGATGGGATGGTGTCCTTTCCAGGACTGGTTCCTGCTAGGTACCCTGAGCTGCCTTGGTGGCCTCTGGCCGCTCATGATTCTGAACTGAAATAATTATCTTACTATTTTTTTTACTCTTTCTTAAATATATATACAGCTCTCATTTATTTTAATGTTTAATACTAGAAGTGTTTTGGTCTTTATATAGAAGTTTCATGATGTTTTTGTAATAAGAAATAAGCCATGGGAACTTAAATCTTGTTTATATCAATTAGCCTATGGTAAAATTGGTTGTGTTATTCATTATTTCTTAATGTTGAATTACCAAGGAACTATTAATGAAATTCAGTGAGAACTTATTGTATATATATCTATAAGTTTATCCATCTCTATCAATATTAAGCTAAGTATGAAGTTATGCTGATGTCTCCACATCTAATCTATTGCTGCATGTATTATTCTAGCCTTCTCTGCTTGTTTGCCTATAATCTCCAACAATGAGGAAACCTGGTTCCCACCATCTGCCATCCACTTATTTAGTTTTTTAATTCTAGTATACATGTATAGTGGTTTCAAATCTGTTAATCTATATTCCCATGGAAACAAACACACAAAACGTTATTAGTCACAGGACAGGGTTTCTGTACAGTTTCTTTGGCCTTTAGTCTTATAGTTCCCTCTTATTTCCAAAATTATTTAAGGCCAGCATGTTTTCTGTCGCCACGTTCAGTAAGGCTAGTTCATATATACTTGTAATAGAATGAGATTCTATTAACACAGCCTACATTCTATCGGGGGTGCCATGACACCATGAATTTTTTTTTTAATTTGTATACACGTAAGGTGAACTCTTTCTGATATAAAATTCTGTGTGTTCTTTCAAATGCATAATGTGTGTAACCATGACGGTATTATACAGAATAGTTTTAGAACCTTAAAAATATCTCATAATTAATCTATTTAACAATTGCTTTTTCCAGATCCTTGAGAATCACCGCTTTTTTTTTCTCTCTCTCTGTGTGTGTGTGTGTGTGTGTGTGTGTGTGTGTGTGTGTGTGATGGAGTCTCGTTTTGTCACCAGGCTAGAGTACAGTGGTGTGATCTCAGCTCACTGCTACCTTCACCTCCTGGGTGCAAGCAATTCTCCTGCCTCAGCCTCCTGAGTAGATGGGACTATAGGTGTGCACAACCACACCCTGCTAATTTTTGTATTTTTGTATGTTTAGTAAAGATGAAGTTTCACCATGTTGGCCAGGATGGTATTGATCTCTTGACTTTGTGATCTTCCTGCCTCAGCCTCCCAAAGTGCTAGTGTTGTACTGGCCTGAGCATAGAAAGTCAACACCAAGACAAAAATACGCCAAATTGCAGAGTCTTTATAGCTGGAGGCCAAGGAGGACTCACGTCTCTCTAACCTGTGGCCCCGAAAGGAGGGTGTCAAGACCTTTTATACCCGTAAAACCACCTTGGGAGTGAGGGTGAGGGGCAGGGGTGGGGGTGAGGGACTTCAGATGTTCTGAGAGCTAGTGGATTCTGTAAATCACCTCCTGGGTGGAGATGAGGGTGAGGGGCTCCTGACATTCCCAGGGCCAGGGGACTTTTGACATTCTGATTGTGACTTAAGTGGTTCACAAAAGTCAAGATTAGCATTTGTTTACACATTATCTAGGGTGGAAATTACAGTCCTTAATTACTTATTACAAGTCACAGGTGCCAAGATGGCATGGGTTTGGACTGCTTGCCTGTTACATTTGGGTTACAGAGAGCAGTTTCAATAGAAAGCTGAGATATGGTTGAGGTATGCAGCTTTATGGGGCTTTTACCATGTCACACTAGGATTACAGGCGTGAGCCACTGCTCCTGGCCTTAGCTTAATACAGGGGTAAATATGCAGATTGTTACATAGGTAAACTTGTACCATGGGGGTTTGTTGTACAGATTCTTTTATCGTCCATGTATTAAGTCAAATACCCATTAGTTATTTTTCCTGATCCTCTCTCTCCTCCCACTCTCTCCTAGGCACCAGTATGTCTTGTTCCCCTCAGTGTGTCCATGGTGTTCTCATCATTCAGCTCCCACTTACAAGTGAGAACATGTTTTCTGTTTCTGCATTAGTTTGCTAAAGATAATGGCCTACAGCTCCACTCATGTTTCTGTAATGGACATGATCTTGTTCTTTTTTAAGGCTACATAGTATTCCACCGTGTATTTGTACCACATTTTCTTTTTCCAGTTTATCGTTAACGGGCACTTAGATTGACTCCATGTCTTTGCTATTGTGAGTAGTGCTGCAATAAACCTATATGTGTATGTGTCTTTATAATGGAACAATTCATATTTCTTTTGGTAAATATCCAATAATGGGATTGCTGGGCCTAATGGTTATTCTCTTTTTAGCTCTTTGAGGAAACGCCACACTGCTTTCCACAATGGTTGAACTAATTTACATTCCCACCAACAGTAAAAGTGTTCCTTTTTCTCCACAACCTCGCCACCATGTGTTATTTTTTGACTTTTAAGAATAGCCATTCTGCCTGGTTACAGATAGTATCTCATTGTGGTTTTGTTTGCATTTCTCTAATGATAAGTGATGTTGAGCGTTTTTTTTACATGATTGTTGGCGGCATGTGTGTCTTCCTTAGAAAAGCGTCTGTTCATGTTCTTTGCTCACTTCTTAAACAGACTGTTTCATTTTCTTCTTGTAAATATGTTTGAGTTCCTTATAGATGATGGATATTAGACCTTTTGCAGGTATATATAGGTTGTGAAATTTTTTTCCCCATTCTGTAGGTGGTCTGTTTACTCTGTTGATAGTTTCTTTTGCTCTGCAGAATCTCTTTAGATTAATTAGATTCCCTTTGTCAATTTTTGTATTTGGTGCAATTATTTTTGGTATCTTTGTCATGAAATCTGCCCAAGCCTATATCCTGAATGCTATTTCCTAGATTGACTTCTACGGTTTTTGTAATTTTGAGTTTTACATTTAGGTCTTTAATCCATCTTGATTTAATTTTTGTATATGGTGTAAGGAAGAGATCCAGTTTCAATCTTCTGCATATGGCTACCCAGAAACCCACTGCTTTGTTAACCATCTTTAAAGTTTTGCCTTTTCCAGAATGCTGTATAAATGGAATCATAAATTATATAGTCTTTTCAGACTGTTACTTGCTTTTCATGGTTCCTTAAATATTTTCTATCTTCAGCTATGAGGACTATAATATGTCTATTTTTTTCTTCTCTTCAAAATTTAGGACTAATTTGAAAAAAAAAATGTTACTTAGCAGTTAGCCACCTTTACATTTTTGAAAAATTCATTTATAACTCTCCTATATAGAAATCAATTTTAAACATAAATAATTTTTTTAATAAAATAAAATATATTTTAAAATATATATAACATAAAATAAAACCATGTTTACCTTTCTGTATGAAATATAAGATAATTTGCTCATTTAACTCTTCACTTTTTATCTTTCTTCATTTTTTTCTTTGTTTTAGTTGGTATGGCAAGACATTTTCGACTATATTTATATAGTTTTAAATATTTTTACAGGTGTTAATTTTGGTAATATTAATTAGTACATTTATTCTAAATAATTCACCATTTAATAAGCATATACTTAAATTTTTAAAATTTATATTCTTTTGATAGCCTTTTAAAACAGTGCTAAAGATAAAAATTTTTAAATATTTTCTAATCATATCTATTTTTTAACCCAGAATGTTTACAAGATTGTTTTTGCACCATTGATTCAATTTGCTTTTCATTTGCTGTTTATTTGTTGATATTTTCTTTATAATTTTTAAAGAATGTAAAATCATACTGCAATTAATATCCACCAAAGGAGAGTCAACTGCAAGATATCAATATCTGCCCTCCACTGAGTGTTGTGTTAGCTATGTTGAGATCCAGCTGATGCTACTTCCTCTATCAAGTGTTAAGGTTTCATTTTCATATGCCTCATAATCAGAAATAAGAATGCGATTCTCATTCTCATACAATCAAACAGATTGGTCAAACATTCCATCAATTTTTTCAAAAAAATTCTAGAAGGTTATGGGGTGAAAAGCATGTTTTAATTTGGTTTTCAGTGTTGAATCCTGTTTTCTTATTCTTGAATTTCTTTGCTAATTTCTATTAAAAATTTGGAGACTTGGGCTTTTCAAGCCATGGACTTACATTATGCTCTGTGCAGGAAATGTAAACATATTTTAGTTTTCTCTTCATTAAATCACTTTGACAAAAAATGTTTTTATTTTGCTGATATTTAAAATAATTTTAAAGTAATTGTTAAAGAATAGATGGCTAATGATAGCTAAACAATTTTTGATGAAAAATTATTAGGAGCATTACATAGAAAATCTATGTGTCTATTCTCTATTTCCAACCCCTTCCTCATGACAAAATGAAATGTGGAATGTATGGCACAGCCTAGCATTTTACTCAATATTGATAGTGTATAATAATTTAGAGAATTAATATTTATTGACTTCTTTTTTTCTTAATGTAACCACTTCAAGGAGCACTATGTACATATGTACATATATACGTATATACATGTTCATATGTATGTACATATGTATATAGTGCTTCTTGAAGTGGTTACATATGTGTGTATGCACACACACACACACACACACACACACACTTTGGCTTCTGACTGAAATAATGGAGCAAATTATTAAATACGGAGGGATTTAAGAGATAAGAACTGAAAATTAAAATAAATCCTCTGAGAGAAAAAAGATATGGCACTGTTATGATGTTTAATAATGTTGCATAATTATTTTTCACATTTCTACTTGAGGCTAAGAGATATTTGCATCTCTAATGTTTTACAAATATATTTCTTTAAGGGATAATGTACTCCAATCCCAAAACAGATACTAGGGTAAAAATTCACTAAGAAACACCAATTGGACACTTGAGTATAAAAATTTCATCTGTCTTTAAAGAATGTTTGTGTGTTAGCAGCAGAGTATTTCTACTATAAAAATACCTTAATTCTAAGAAAGGTATATATAGCAAAGTCCTAATATTTATTAATTACCCAGAATTCCCTCTGAACTAATATTTCTAAAAAGCCTATCTTATAAAAATTTCATGGCTAAAATGATAATCCTGAAATGCACATTTTTAAGGCACTCTTAAAATATTGAAACCTTTTAGCACAATTTTAATTACTAACTACATTGAGTTATAAATATTCTAACAAAAATATACCAATTATGTTATATACCACACACATCAAAACTATTTCACCAAAGAGAAGGCCTAGATCCATAATTTTATTTAATATTTGATCTATAACTGTACTTGACCAAAGATACTTACCCACACACACATATTTTATGTTTAAAATATTAGTTGCTGGATGCCACTTCTACTGACATAGTAAAAGCTTCTTCTATCCCCTCATATCTTCTCTACTGGCTTCCTTTCTCTGGGTAACTTTTAGTAATAATGTTTGACATCAGCATAAGAATTACACACACCAGCACACACACATATTTACCACATATTCATTTTTTACTTCTTCATGTGATATCAAATAAAACACATAACAAAATTTAACTTCTAAGTTGCTTTCAAAGTTTTCATAAATCCTTATCCTAACTCTTTATAATGACTTTACATACCTTATAAATTTCAAGTGAGTTAGAGATGTTCCACAGACTTTAATAAGTAAAACATTAATTTCACTTTCATCATTAACAAAGCCCTAATCAACAAGATGATCAGTTGTTTACAAAATGCATATTAATTTCCTATTTTTTTAACAAATGAATTTGAGCAAATGAAGTTTCTAAATGAATGCCACTGTCAGGGTTCACTTGGGAGCCTCCTCTATACCCTAATTTCACATTTCACAAACAATGATCAAAATAATACAAAGTAAAGGGAGAAAAACACTGTTAGTTCAAAAAAAAAGTGAAGGAGAGTGCTGAAGAGGTTTTAAATCATGTGTCCCAGGTTCTTTGACACACTCCCTTCCATTGGCATTCTCCTTGACATCTGGTCAGTCTTGTGACTACTTCATCATGGACTAAATAATGATTTCACTCGGAGCTTCTAACACCGAAGATTAGAACCATGCTCTGCTAAGTATGACTCATGTATTAGTCCGTTTTCATGCTGCTGTTACATGCTCAAGAGTGGGCAATTTACAAAACGAACAGGTTTATTGGACTTACAGTTCCACATGGCTGAAGGTAAAAGGCACTTCACAATCATGGCAGAAGATGAAAGGCACTTCTCACATGGCAGCAGATAAAAAGAACAGAATTTGTGCAGGGAAACCCTCCCTTAAAATACCATCCGATCTCATGAGACTCATTTGCTATCAGAACAACATAGGAAAGACCTGCCACCATGATTCAATTGCCTTTCGTTGGGTCCCTCACACAACACATGAATATTCAAGATGAGACTTGGGTGGGGAAACAACCAAACCGTATCATTCTGTCCCTGGCCACTCCCAAGTTTCATGTCCTCACATTTCAGAATAAATTATGCCTTCCCAACAGTCCACCAATGCCTTAACTCATTTCATCATTAACTCAAAAATCCATAGGTCCAATGTCTCATCTGAGACAAGGCAAGTAAGTCCCTTCCACCTATGTACCTGTAAAATCAAAAGCAAGTTAGTTACTTCCTAGATACAAGGCATTGGGTAAATACAGCCATTCCAAATGACAGACGTTGGCCAAAACAAATGGGTTATAGGCCCCATGCAAGTCCAAACTCCAGTGGGGCAGTCAAATCTTAAAGCTCCAAAATGATCCCCTTTGATGCCATGTCTCATATCCAGGTTACACTGATGCAAGAGGTGGGTTTCCATGGTCTTGGGCAGCTTTGTCCCTGTGGCTTTGCAGGTCACAGTCCCCCTCTTGGCTGCTTTCATGAACTGGCATTGACTGTGTGGTTTTTCCTGGCACATGGTGCAAGCTGGCAGTGAACTTACCATTCTGGGTTCTGGAGGACAGTGGCCCTCTCTACTCACATCTCCACTAGGTGGTGCCCCAGTAGGAACTCTGCA